CGATGGTGCCGGCTGAACTGTAGGTGTTCGTGGATCCGTTGTTTTAAACGCCGGTATGTACAAAAGTATTCTCATATTTTGCCAACTATAATTTGATCCAAGGCGCGTAATTGTGGGCAGGTCTAATGCCGCCAACCGGACCAAAGGCTAGCTTTGAAAATTAAGGAATATTGGGAGCAAAAGATATATTAAAAGGGCAAAGTGGGCAAGAAAACAAGACTAAGTAATTTATGTTTTAATCATTATTTCCGTATGTGTGGTAGGTAGGTGACGGATTAAGAATACGCAGCGTCACGACCCCTATTCATTCCGTAGGTATTGTAAGAGCCCGCTAAGGAGGAACTACGCAGAACCACAACACTGCAAAGAGAAGGAAAACTTCAAACAAGCCCTATACCAACTCGCCGGGTCAGGGTGGTATAGTAAGCCAAAACCTCCTTTTCTTAGTAGAAGCCAATGCCCAGCAGTGGACTGTTAAAGGCTGTTTATGACGATGATGATATATGTATAAGAAACGCTCATTAAGATGCTGCAACGCCATCTAGTTGTCGCGTTACTAAAAGAACAGATGCGACACTTTTTCACAGAAAAACCTGCTGTAATAATAATTAGTGTTTTTTTTTTTTTTTCGCCACGCCGCCCACTACTACGCTGAGTGTTTTGGGTCCGACTCCCACATGGGACGACACTTTGTGTGATCCACAAATTGTTGTTCTGAGTCTGGGTGTTCTCTGCGTCCGTTTCATGTATGTCTGTAAAGTCCCCCGCGACATAGGACATATTCTTAAGCAGGGAGTTGTCTAAAAAAAAAGAATTTGACAAAATTCAAATCTAAGAAACTTGACTTGTATTGCATTACACTTGACTTTCATTTTAAGTCACGTTTCATCTCCGAATATGCCACAGATGTTCAGCCTCTTTCTATGAATTATAGCCTTACATAAGTGTCTAGTATTGATTGCAATAGCCCGTATTTGTAGTAATGCGCTTTTTTCACTCTCGATAAGGCTCGTCGTGCGTCGTGACCACACCATACTCATTGCACTAAATATGTCTTACATAGGGTTGGCAAACAATAAATGCTGCCTTTATCTAAACGAAAATAATAATAATTGGAAACGCACTTGTGAACCCCAACCTGAAATCACATGGCCTGGGTTCTCCCCAGAGCTGAGCGCCTAAGGCTGGCCGTCGGAGTGGTTATTAGTGGCAACGCCACATACTTGGCTCTTATATGTCCAAAGAGCGGGAGATCCGAAGGGACTTTCCACTCCGTCAACAAAAAAAAAACGGAATTCGTGTATTCGATTCCCACCCAGGACAAATATAGTGTGATAAGCACGATGACTTGTTCTGTGTCTGGGTGTACTTTATCTATAATATGTATGTATTTAGAAATATATAAGTATGTTTATCAGCAGTCTAGTTACCATAGTACAGGCTCTGCCTAGTTTGGGATCAGACGGCCGTGTGTGAGATGTGTGTGATAAATATTATATTATTATTATTATTACTTACCATTTGGAGGATATGGTTTGGATAATATCGTGAATATTTATTGTTTACTTAATTATTTCTTTATTGTATTCAATTAACACAAAGTTACTTACAAAAATATAGACATAACAATATATGAAATTCTATAACTATAAGAAATAAATCCTATAACAGTCCGTGTGGTGAGGGATTAAGATTACGGAATGTCACCACCCCTATTCATCCCGTGGGTGTTGTAAGAGCCTACTAAGGGAGCAAACTATGCAAGACAACCGCACTGCAAAGAGAAGGAAAACTTGAAACAAACCCTATACCAAACCGTCTGGCCAGCGTGGTATAGAAGGCCTAAATCTCCTTTCTAAGGAGAGGCCTATGTCCAGTAGTGAACTGGTATAGGCTACTAATGATGATTGATGAAAAATTAAAAGGAATAATATCATTATGAATTAAAAATGATAACAAAAATTATTTTTGTTTAAAAACATAGACAAACCCTTCTACTTACTTAAATTACATCATTCTTGTTTTTAACGCATATTAAGAGGACAACCCTAGTGAGTCGGCCAGTGTGACCATAGCGAGCAGTTGGCATATGTCCGCGGCTCTGCGACCATATGGCGACGTTTGCCTCATCACCACACTGCACAACATGGACCAGGTCAGCGCTCACTACAATAGGCTGATCAGTTGAGGCTGTTTGTGTATCTGTGCCCGCGCCGGGGGGTATTTCATGATCACCTAAGAAAGACTCATGGAAATCGCTCGATCGATCGAGATTAGCAGGAACAAACAGACGGTAATTGTGACTTACATTCAGGTCATTAAAAATTAACTTTACCGGTTTAAACATAATCCCAAATTCATTGAAATAAGTTACAGTATTTTAAGCTATTGCATAGCTTGGGCCTTGAGCGTGGAGACCGAATCCAGAAATTCCGTAACGAAAATAATAATAGTAGTCTCTTTAGTTCAGCAATGCGCCTCTAGGTGGCATTGGTTGTATCGGCGTTACTGCGCATGCGTAATCCCCCTCTTCGCCCCGCAATCTAATTAATATCAAATAAAAAAAAACAACGAAAAAAAAATACTGCATAAATAAAATAAATAAAGTATTATAATTGCATAAGTTGATAAAAAATACTATGCAATAGCTTTACTTCGGCAGTCCCCGAGTGCCACACGTCTTTTTTTTCTACCGCTAAATGCAACATCTAATACCTTTACACGTGCAATTCTTGTATATCTCGTATGTAGCAAATATATAAATATAATCTTGGCAACGGCTCCAACGATTTTCATGAAATTTAGTATGCAGGGCGCAGGGGGTTTCGGGGGCGATTAATCGATCTAGCTGGCTTTCATTTTTAAAAATCAACAAAAAAAAAATATCGAGCAAAGCTCGGTCATCCAGGTACTGCAATTTGTATGTATTTGTATGTAACAATAAATTCGTAACTTTCGGCTTTTAAGGAAAAAGATTCTTGCGATAGCCAACAAAGGGCTAAGGTCTTCCTTTTTCCTTATTGCGGCACGGATCCCTAAAAATGGTTATTGTAATAAAAGCATAACAATTTACAGGCAGGCAGGCAGGGTCTCTGGTCACTATGGGGGTTCCGCAGGGCTTAATTCTCGGCCCATTTTTATTTCTTGTTTACATAAATGACCTACCTAATGTGACAAATGATAATCAGGAGATAGTACTATTTGCTTTGCTTTGCATTGCTTACTAGTTTAAATAAAAGTGAAGTGTCATCCACTTCACTTTTATTTAAACTTAAACGACAGCAATCAGTAACTGATGACGTGAATAGCACTCTCTCTAAGGTTGTGAACTGGTTTAATGTTAATAATTTACTTTTAAACGAGAATAAAACGAAATGTATTAGATTTTTTACACCTAATGTTACGCAGGTAAAGACCAATGTTCTAATAAATGGAAAGGAGTTGGATCTTGTGGACACCACCAAGTTTTTAGGTATAACACTAGACTCAAAATTTGCAATGGGGCCCACACATTGACGGATTGTCGAATAGACTCAGCTCTGCAGCATACGCGGTTTACAAAATTCGTCAATTAAGCGATGTAGAAACAGCTAGACTGGTGTATTTTAGCTGTTTTCATAGTGTAATGTCATACGGTATTTTGTTGTGGGGAAATGCTGCTGACATTCAAAGTATCTTTGTGTTGCAAAAGAGAGCTAATCGTGCAATTTATAATCTCAGTTATAGGCAGTCACTGAGGGATAAGTTTAAAGAAATTGGTATCATGACATCATACCGAATCTCAATACATATATGAAAATTTAATGTATGTAAAGAAAAATAATCATTTATTAACAAAGTTTAGCGACATGCATAAAATAAACACTAGAAATAAAGATAAAGTCGTGTTACCAACCACTAGGCTACAAAAAGTAAGCAAGTCTTTTCGTTGTCAGGGTGTGCGATTTTACAATAAAGTGCCAAGCAAATTCCATTAATTAAGTATTAACAAATTTAAGTCTTTAGTAAAGATAAAACTATGTGAAAAGGCTTACTACACTATTACAGACTATTTAGACGACACATTTGCTTGGAATTGATGCTGCTCACTCCCAATTTTACGTAGACATCTTTGTTGTTAAGTTTGAAAGTAATGGACATTTAATTATTATTTTTTTGGTGTATTTCGTATTTTGTTTTCGTATTTTATTTTTCGTTGACTTTGAATTGTATAGTATTTTTTTATTTTTTGTGTAAGTATGTAAATGTGAGTATAGTGTAGGCTTGTAATGTTAATTTATATTTTATTATCTTTCTGGTGGTCTTGAGTGTTTCCACGGCCTACCCAAATGTCCTGCTGGTGGTAGTGTCATGCTTCGGGTCGTTGATCTTGACCAATATCGGTTAGGCTACACGATGGCTGGAGCCTGTATGCCGTCTGTATGGACAGGCTGACTCAAAACTATGGTCCTTTCCTCAAAAGGCCTATCCAGACCCTATACTGTACTCGCACAGTTTTATTTAACTTTGTTTACGGACTTAAAAAAAAGACACCTCTGTGGTTTGTTTCGGCGTTTCTTCCCAGAGTGAGTCTAAGCAAATGCCGGCTCCTTCTAGCTATAAAGCCGGACTTTTAAAAATATCTGAAAAGATTTACTTCCAGAAATAAATATCATTTATCATTTATTTATCATTTATCATTTACACATAATATTATATTTAAGGAGACTTAGAAGTTTAATTTTGGTGACAGCTACAGGAGTCAAATGTTTTATTAATTTAGCCGAAGCCTACATTCACAGGATTTTATGAGGGCTTTGGACCTTGAGCATTTAAATTTAGATGTAACTTACGAGTACGTATTTTTCCTTCATACTTTATACTTAAAAACGTATTAACGTTGACTAAATCCACAACTTTTTTGCATAAATGCAGAAGAAAAACTGAAAGTCCTGAAGTTTATAAGAGTTTAATAAAAATTGATTACACATTATTTATTTTGATATAGAAATATACATGTTTCAGGACAGGACGTATCTCTCCACAAACTCCTCAGTTACCTCTAAGTTTCTGTCTTTATATACCTTACACTTAGCAGCAAAAGCCAGGACAGGCTCAGATCGGTCAAAATTGATATATTTGTCGTAGGTTTTAGGATCATCAAATGTTTCCTGGGCAGTCTTCGGATCCATTAGTATGAAGGGATAAATCCCTATAGCGGCAAACATCCCAAACATTCTACCTTTATCACACCATTTCAAGAAGTCTTCTTTATCGTATCCCAAATCTTCCAGTCTCTTCTTAGAATCGCCGTTCAAGTTTTGTTCAAAAACAGAAAAGTAATGATTCAATACATCTGTCGTATGTTCCTGACGAAACTTTCTATCAGTAGTCAAATACATAAATACCATGAGATCAAAAGCTGGAGGTCCATAGCGCAAGCATTGGAAGTCAACTAGTACGGCGTTTATTGGCACATCTTTCTCATACTTAAACATTATATTGTTTACCCATAAATCCCTATGGAGCAACACATTAGCACTGCCTTTATATTCCTTCATACTGTCGCATGCTTTAAGATAAAATTCGTTCAATTCAGACTCTAAACCTATTCGGTTACTGTAAAATTTCGTAGAAAAGGCTTTTAAGAGATTGGTTGACAGTTTAGCTGCTGCCTTTAGAAACGGGGATTCGCAAAAAGTCGGTTCCTGTAATATTTGACTAAATTCTTGGAACGTACTATATGGACGTTTTAGATCGACACTCTTCTTAGTTTCATAATTGATAAATGCGGCATGAAAGCGTGCAATGGATGTCATTGTCAAATAAAAGTGTTCATAGTCCAGGGTGTCGAGGAAATGACGAGAAGTGTAGCCAGCGACGGTCAGATCTGGCATCACGATGATTGAGTCTGTGTAGATGTAGGCTCTGACGCACCATGGGTTTGAATCTATAAAAATGACAGAAGTCAATTTAAAGCACAGAACTGGGTTCAGACTGCAGAATCAGTACTAATTTGTTTGCACGTTTGACAATTTGGTTGATATTTTTTACCTAAAGGTAGCTTCCAACTATTGCTATCGAATTAATATACCATATATATACAGATACCACATAGGAGAAATTCTTAGCACAAAGCTGCTTTAAAACATAATAAATGTCTACAGTGAGAGAGCCATGCTTCTTCACAATTGGGCCGGCTCTACCGGAGTGATACCACGGCCTCACAGAAAACCGGTGTTAAGCAATTCTTTCGTTGCCTTTCACTGAGTGAAGGTGTTCATGGGAGGCTGTAGTTGCTTACCATCAGGTGACCCGCCTGCTCGTTTGCCTCCTTATACCATAAAAAAAAATCTCATTCAAAATATTTTTTGGCCCAAAAATGTATATTTTTCTTACCATCATCACGAATATCGTCCAAGACTCGATACATTAACATTTCGCGCCTGTAAAAATTATGTTTGTCAATAAACTCAGCCTTAGGCTTGTTACTTGCCGAAATGCGTTTCAAAAACAAATACACTTTCTTTTGTTCTCCTTGTACATCCACATCCAGCACTCCTTTCAAGTGATCGCCAAGAAAGCCAGCTATGCCATCCATTGCTGGCCGTATTTCACTCTTTACCAATTGGCACGTACCGTCTCCACCAATAGCTTGATTCAAAATATGAAGAATCTGCTTCTCTGTTAAAATTTCTTCAAGGACTAAACGTTTTCCACAACCAACCATTTTGTATTTTAAAGTATTACACAGATCGATTCCTTTTATAATTTATATTTAAACTGTATTTACTGAATGTTTTAATTAAACTGATCAAGTAATAATGGCATGTGGTCGCTATAAATATGCCTAGAATATGATAAATATATAATACAGTGTTTGTTGAGGGCTCAAAGCAGCTACTGTTTGAGATCTGAAATGCATTGTTCACTGACATTTTGTTAATACTGTGTAATTACTATTGTTAGATAACAAAACTGCAGGTAGTAATGCCACTTAGGCAGACAGCTAGGTAGTACGGGTTTAATTTGTTAAAAAAAAACAACTCCTGCACTAGGAATATATCCTGTGTCGCGGGGGACTTTACAACCATTCATAAAACGGACACAAAGAACACCCAGACTCAGAACATTTATTTGTGGATCACACAAAGTTTTGTCTCATGTGGGGATCAAATTCACAACACTCACTGCAGGCTTAAACCACTACGACATCCTTGCAGTCAAATGGCTTTCGAAGTGACAGATATCCTACGCTGACCTACTTGTATCCGACTTTCGCAACCCCCCGTTTCTTAAAGCAGCAGCTAAACTGTCAACCAATCTTTTGGAAGCCTTTTCTGCGAAATGCTACCGTAACCGGATAGCCTTAGCGTGGGAATTGAATGAATTCCCCAATTATCCGTATAAGCGATATTCCTTTCCTACCAAGGTCACCGACTTCCTCAGAAGGTTGAAGACAATTGGGTTATCAGCATCACTTGAGAGATAAGAGATAATAATATACCTCACACATCTCACACAGAGCCGTCTGATCCTAAACTGTGCAGAGCCTGTGCTATGGTAACCAGACTGCTGATAAACATACTTATATAGTTTTAAATACATATTATAGATAAATTACACCCAGACACAGAATGAATGACCGTGCTCATCACACAATATTTGTCCAGGGTGGGAAACCAAACCCACGACCTCCGGCTTAGCAGTCATGGCCACTGACCACTAGACCAACCAGCCTGTAGAGATGTAGTAGATATATATTATTACTTCATCATCATCATCATCAACAGCCTTTAATAGTCCACTGCTGGACATAGGCCTCTCCTTAGAAAGGAGGTTTTGGCCTACTATACCACGCTGGCCAGACGGGTTGGTATAGGGTTTGTGTCAAGTTTTCCTTCTCTTTGCAGTGCTGTTGTCATGCGTAGTTAGCTCCTTTAGTCGGCTGTTACGCAATAAATAATTTAGTATTCGAATTATAGCTTTTGCACTCGGCTCCGCCCGCGTATATGTTGGTAGTCCTTCTTCAGTCAAACTATCTCCTTACCAAATTTTATCTAAATCGGTACAGCGGTTTTTGATTCCCCATACAAACTTCCACCCCCTTAAAGATAGATTTCTGGGCTAATTACTATCCTATGTCCCTTCCCGGGGCTCGAACATCTCTATACCAAATTGCATCTAAAGAGCTTCAGCGCTTAAAGCGTGAAGAACACACAGACACAGCGTGAACAGACTGACACACTTTCATTGCATTATTAATATTAGTATGGATTGAATAGGGGTGTGACACTTCGCATTATTAATATTAGTATGGATTGAATAGGGGTGTGACACTTCGCATTATTAATATTAGTATGGATTGAATAGGGGTGTGACACTTCGCATTATTAATATTAGTATGGATTGAATAGGGGTGTGACACTCCGCATTCTTAATACTCTGATCATGCTA